CAGGACTACTCTGCGGCTGGGCACTTTGCGGTTGGGCACTGCAGGGGTACTCCGCGGTTGGGCACTGCAGGAAAATTTGGCGCTTGGGCATTGCAGGGATATTTGATGGGTTTTGCACTGCAGGGATATTTGGCGCTTAGGAACTGCAAGGATATTCTGCGGTTGGGCACCGCCAGGATACTCGGTGCTTGGGCACTGCAGGGACACTTAGTGGTTAGGCACTGCTTGGCGGTTGGGCGCTGTAGAGATACTTGGCGGTTGGACACTGCAGGGATACTTTGCGGTTGGCACTGCCAGCATACTCTGCGGTTAGGTACTGCAATACAAGAATTCTCTACGGTGTAGCACTACATGGATACTCCAGGCAACGAGCGAAGACAGCATTAACTTTAAAATCTCATAACCCCACTATGAGGGTGAGGAATAATTTCTATTTTCAAAAATTCGACGCGTAAAAATTCATCCCATCTATCCAAAATATATATAATAATTCTAATAATTCAGAGCTAGCAGCTAGACCCCAAGAAACGAAATAAATTATCGAAAAAAAAAATCAAAAATTAGAATTCCAGAAATATATACATATTTTCCAGATCCTCATTTAAAAGCCAAAATTAAATGCAAGAAGAAAAATCTATTTCGAATATATTTAATTCTAGAAATAGAATTAGAGCCAAAATTAGCAAAAAAAGAATATTTAAAATATATCCAGAATTAAATCCGAAAAGAAATAATAATTATATAATATTAATATATTTTCGCTTATTTTATAAATTTCAAATAATCCAATCCCAATATCTGGGCAATTATAAATATGATTTAAAAAGATCTCAAAATATATCTATCTTATAGAAATGAGAATTTAAAATAAATGAATCTTCAGATAAAATATTTTCCAGAGATAGATATCAAAGGGGCAAAAATGAGAGATTTAAGATTTAAAATCAAATTGAAAGATGATCCCCAACGGAATAATTTATTATAGATAATAAATCGTTTTCCGGAGCTACGCCCAAGAGAAAAAGATCACGGAAAATTTATTTATTTAGTTCCTTTATTTTAGAAATCTAAATTCAAAGCTCCGCCCCCAACCCCAAGCAATTGTGACAAACCCTATACCTGCATGCCATCCAATTTTGCATCTCCTCTTGGCGTGAGGCCGAGCCTTCCAGTTGATCTTTATCATTGCAGTACTTGAGGGTTCCCCCAAATAAGGGATGCCTTTTGTGGGGGTCCGCCTATAATAGGATTAAGGATTCTAGTATTTTGGGGTCTATATTGGGGCCCCCCTATTTCCGCAAAAGTACCACTTAAAACATTTTGAAAGTGCGTCATGAATTGAATGAGGCTCGTAGCTCCTCTGCTCTTGTGGCAGACTGCCTCATCACCCCTAATGGCCACTGATGCTCACCAGTCTTATCTGGCACAAACGCCTGCAAAGTATGCAGCCTTGAACGCCGTAATGTTACCTCTCAAGCACTCGACGGCCTCTTGTCCAAAACCATTCTCTAAAAGGCGAGCGTATTGCCCTCCACTGACAGAGGCGTTGTTGCCAGCCCGAGAAGCGTTTCTTGTCCCACTCTTTACAGACAGCTGCCTCTTGCCTTCCACCATTCCGAATCATCTGTACAAATAGCACCACGGCAGACTCATCCCAGTAGCGGAGATCATCCACAGCCTCACCGTCTGCAATGGGCATAGTCGTCACCATTTTTGTCAAGACAGCAGCCCTGTCACTGTCACAGGATGCTGGTATGAAATCGGTGTCGTTGAGGTAGAACTGCATGCCCTCAGTGTAGGTGGAAGTTGCCAAAACCAGAGATTTGCCAAAAGAGAAAACTGAGTTGGCGGCAATTGGATCACTGAAAACATTCCACTCTGTGTGCGGTGGTTTTCCAGTGAAGGAGGTGCCAGGGGCAGAGTAAGGCCATACCTTGTCAGTTGGGCTACTGGATCTGGGAACCACGATGCCCCCTGAGAAGTAGATGCGATTCACTTTCCTCTTGAAAAGTCTGGGGGACTCCTGTAGAAAGCGCGCCAGATTGGTCAAAGGTCCTAATGCAATGATGTCTACTTTTCTTCGACTCTTCCGCAACTTCTCATGTAACAACAGGCCAGTGTACATCCAACTGGGTGGCCGTATGTTGAAGGGTAAGCCAACATACTCACTGAGGAAATTGCCCGTTCCGGCCAGCAACGTGGGGTCAGGCAATCCATTAGGCTCCTTGAGATTTAATTGCGTGTCCGAATTGTAGAATGGCGAATATGCCACTGGAATGCCTGGCTGACCAAAATACTGGGTCAGACGCATGACGCTCACGACGCCTGCCCACTGCTGGGACCAGCCATCACAACCCACCGTGATGGCCAGCACTTCAATATCCGGCTGAGCAAGCATAAAAGCAATTGCCATCTGATCGTCTGTGTCAACATCAGTGTCAATAATGACTGGTTTACGGCGGCCAGAGTCTTCTGAGCCTTCAGCTTCCATCTCTGAGTCATCTACGGCATCAAAGCCATCCATGGCATCCCTGTCCATGACATCTTGCATCTGGGCTTCACGATGAAAACGTTGCAGTATCGCCACCGTGTCATCAGGCACCTCTTGGCGTGCGGAAGCCACGTCCACAAGAAAAGCAAGGGCAAAAGCTACGCGGGGAGCTGCCGGACTCATCAAGAACAAGTACCTAGACCTCTATACCCTAACCCCTTTTTTGGGGTACCTATAATTTTGCATTTGGAAGATTAGGTTTCCCAAAAAAGAGGATTTGTTGGCTTTGTACCCTAAACCCCAAACCCTAAACCGTGAATAACGTCTATGGCCCTGGAGCCAGAATTGGGACAAGGCCAGGATGGCTCATAGGGTTTAGGGGCTCAATCAAGGAAAGCTCCAGGTGAGTAGTCATCAGACGGGTACCCCTAAAGGAAGCCTATATGAGTTTAGGGTTTAGGGCTTAGGAGTTAGGGCTGGGCCTCATATAAGCTACGGAGTCAATCAGATGTATAAACAGGATCACGCGATCAAGGGCTTAAGGTTTTGTTAGGGTTTAGGGATCAACCTCGCAACAATAACGCAGACCCCCTAAGGATCCAAAAATGGAACCTCCCAATAACCTCCTAGTTTCCCCAATGTAGTAATGGGGATCATTTTTTGGGGGGGTTCCATTTTTTGGATCCTTTAGGGGGTCTGGGAAGGGGATAACGGCTGGCACCTTTGGCTCCTCACCAATCTTTGCCTGCAATGACCCGGAGCGTGCGTACGCTACATGGCTGTTAATGCTGTTTCCACGTAGATTTGGTGGGCCTTGATGGTAGACGGCTTAGGGTTTAGGGTAGACTCAAAACCTTAGGATTTCAGGAACCGCTCCACTTTTGGAACCTTGGTCGAGCTGAGCATGTGTTGAACTTTTCGATGGGCTCCCCGCTATCTGCCTTATTGGCGTTTACCCGGTGCACTTCTTCTCCCTAGCGTGAGGACAGTAGGGCAAGATGATCCAAGAATCGAACTGCCGATCATATGCTGGTGCTTAAAAAGAGGATCCTTATGGAAGCTAGGGATGGGGATTCTGGGGAGAGTATAAAACCCAGAGCCCTAAACCCCCTAAAGCCTAAACGTCTTGAGGATTATTCAGGGATCATTTCCGCAGATGCGTAGGGCAGATGTTCAAGAGTTGCTGCTTTGGGTAGGAAGGGGTTCAGTCCATGCAAGTTTAGAACACTGTAGCTGTCGTACAATGGCATTTTCAGAAGCCGGCTGTTTGCGACCACGTGCCCTCAACATGCACACAGTAGGAGTATGAAACAGGCTCGGCAATATGGAGGGGGCTATGTCAACAGAGAAACATAAAAGAGACAGGGAGGGGGAGAGAGAGAGAGAGAGGGAGAGAGAAGGTATAAACCCTGAACCCTAAAGAAAGAAATAAAGCGACAAAGAGAGAGAGGCAGACGAAGCTCCCTGAAGCCTATCTACCCACGCCTTTGCAAGCCTTGCTATGGACTCTCGGGAAGATGAGAAGGATGAGCACGAAATCCGTATTTACATCTACACATCTGACCCCCTAGGCCCGAGGCCCAAAACCCTAAACCCGAACCCTGAGCCCTGGACCCTAAACGCTAAACCTCACGGCGCGTTCACGGATTGATTCACATGTCCCCCAACAATCAAGACCCTCCGGCCTAAAAGTCCAATATTGCAGGCCCTTCTTCTACCTCATGAAACCTTCGCCAAACCCTAAACTCTAAACCGGGGGATTATGGGATATTTAAGGGCCTTGTGAGCAAAGAAAGGGTAATGAATGCCATTGTAGGGAGTGTTACACTTCAGGGCCAGCTAGCCATGTTGCAAAGTTCAAGTTATACATAACAGCACTTCTCAGACAGTGCAACTTATGTTATATTACCTTGTTATAAGATGAGTTTCCGTATCTAGGTTCAGGAATTCAATCCTTCAGTTAGGGTTTAGGGTTGCAATTTGATGCAAAGAGCACGCATCTGCACACACCATCACACACCCAGGATTGTCCTGAAAACTCGTAGCTGCCCCTCCTCAGCAGGCTCTTGGGCAGTTCTAAGGTGGAGGTCCTACCTGACTGTTTGTTGAAATGTTCAAAATCAAGGTTTATTTCAAGTACTAGCCTGTACTATAATCACAGCAGGAACATTGAGCCGTAATGCTGGTTATTATTTAGGCTTCTACATCACAAGCGTGGATCCTGTAGTCACACCGACAGCTCATTTAATTCTGATCCCTTTGTTAAGGCGCTAAGGGGGCTACATGGAGGCACAGACGGGCTGCAGACAGAGGCAGCATATTGGCATATCATATCTGTAGGCGATACTGGTGGTTATCAGCCTTGTGGCAGAGCCGAGCATTTTAGGCCCCAATAGAATAAAACCGAACTCTCCGCGCTGAACCCTTATTAAACTCAAAGGGTTTAGGGTAACCATAAACCCTAAGGACAACAAATTGCGATTGCATCTGGAGACTCGGGCGACGCGCCATACAGAAATGATTTCCAAGATTTATACAGAAACTGAGTTGCGCATGGCAGCTGTAGCAAAATTTCCAAGCCCTAAACCCTTCAAAGACGTGGAAGCCTGAACCGGAACTGCCCCAGTGTCCTCGCAGAACGGAGCCCTGAAGGCTTAAAAGCTAGCAACGAACAGCAGGCAAAAGCTTGGTCTAAGGTTTACGTGTTGTAGGTTTTAGGGTTTTAGGCTTTAGGGTTTAGGGCTTGAGGGACCGGGTCCCAATCCGGTCTATGGTTTGGGATTTGGGTCCAGCCACTTCCTACTGATCTTAAACCGCCTCTTTCTGCTTTTAGCTTCTTGCTCCCAATGCACAGGTTAACTTTGAGCAAGTGTTTCTCACAATGGGGGTACCCTTCTGGGCCCTTGCCGGGATATGTGCATGATACGAGAATTCCAAACTCAAGAATGTACAATGGTTGTTGTGAGACACGCCCTTGATTTTCTTGAAACGCAGCGTGAAGGGATGTTCAGACGTCAAACAACTGGTCAGAAAACCAAAGCAAAACAGCAGACCTCTGGAACGTAAACCTTGAATCTTAATCCCCAGACCCTAGACTCCAGACCATGTCAAACGCAAGGTCCTTTATGTGGACCCCCCCACCCAGGGACAGTGGTGATGATATTGGGTCATGTTATCTTTCTCGAGCGGTGGTCCATGTAAACCCCAACAGGGAACCAAAGCCTAATCTCTCTAAAGCCAAGCGTAAGATAAGACTGAACCAAGGCTCAACAGGGCTCAACACCGCAGGCCCTTGCGTCGGCAAGGCTCCTGGGGTTTGTAATTGTTTGGGGTTTAGGGTTTGGGGTCACGGTTTGGGGTTGAGGGTATAGGGTTTCGGATTTGGGGTTTCAGGGTTTGGGGTTCAAGGTCTTGTGGTTGTGAGTTTGAGTTGAGTTTGGGTTTCAAGTCACCTAAGGCGCAGGGTTCAGTAGACGATAATTGTATTTTTGGGGGGTCCTGAAAACAGGGTTTGGGGCAGTATGTGACAGTTACATGCTCTGCCCTAAACCCTGAACCCTAACCGTTGAGGTCAGGATTTTGGGGTAGGTTAGGCTGAGAGGTTCTTTGTGAAAAGGTTGAGGGCTCTGCCGTCCTTCATCCCACACTGAAGACTCTAAGCCCTTAACTGTGAAACCTAAGACCTAAACCTAGAGCCCAATCCTGAATCCTAAGCCCGAAACCCTGAACCATAAACCCTAAACCCTAAACCCCGAAGCCCCGAACCCCAAACCCTAGATGCCAAACTCCAACCCTCAGACTCCCGTCAGAATGCCTTTCCTCTCGAAAGGGACCATAGAGGCTAACCCTAAACCCTAAGCCCTAATTTAGGTACCTACCCTAAACTCTAAACCCTAATTTAGGTACCTACCCTAAGCTCTAAACCCTAAACCCTAATTTAGGTACGTACCCTAAACCCTAAACCCGAAACCCTAATTAGGTACCTACCCTAAACCCTAAACCCCCTGGCTAAACCCTAATTGAGGTACCTACCCTAAACCCTAAACCCTAAACCTATACGGAGCCTTGGGGGTAACCCTGAATCCTCAGAGCTATAGTCGACATGTCCCATATGGTCACGGTTTGCTTTTAGGGTTTAGGGTTTAGGGTTCAGGGTTTAGGGTTAAGGGTTTAGGTCTAAACTCTTAGTATCCCCCTTAGTAACCCCTTTCGTTGTCCCCTTTATAATCCCCTATGTAACCCCCCTTTAAGGAGTTTAGACTATAGCTCATATGGTCACGGGTTGCTGCTCGAGGTTTTTTTGAGTTTTGCCTTTTTGATGGTTTCTACGGTTTAGGTCTTTGTGGGTCTAGGCTCTTTAAGGTTTAGGGTGTTTGGGATTTAGGGTTTTTCAGAATTTAGGGTTCACTCTTTTTAGGGTATAGGGCTTCGGTAACCCTAATCTTGACCGCAGCCAGCCATTCCGCTTGTAGTATTTGAGCCCCCAAAAATGCATATCTGCGTGCTTGGACCTCTAGAGGCTGGAACCCAGCCGAACCCTAAGGGTCCAAGTACCCAATAATTGGGCACTTAGGGTTTTGGTAATAGTAATTGTAGTACAGGTTTTGGGTAGGTATATGAATATTCGGTAATTACTTGGACCCTTAGGGCAACTGAATGGCAATTCCTAAGCATTGAATACCGCTAGGGTGCTCCAACATAGCAACAGGCTTGGGTTCGGGTATACACACACACACAGCCAGCAGCTTTCCTAAACCCTAAACCCCTAAACCCCTAAATCTTGAACCCTAAGCCCTAAACCCTAATTTTCAACACCCACAAGGCCAAGGACCCATGACTTGTATAGGGTCCCTACTATGACTATGACTGGTTGGCTTTAAAAAGGCCCAAACCACTAAACCACAAAACCACAAAATCCCTAAACCCTAAACCCTAAACCCCTAATCCCTAAACCGGTAGCGAAGCACACCCTCAACCCTCCCTGAAGCTTAAGCAGCACA